GTTGTGCCTGGAGGACAAAAGACACAAGTTCCTGCTTGAAATGAAAAAGGAACGAAAAACAGGAGAGTAAGCAGCACGGTACTGAAGAACGATAGGGTCCTGGATTTGCAATCTGATGCAACCATGGAGCTGTGTGCCTCAGGGTGGGTCCTAAAACTTCTCTGTGCCTTGGTTTGCTAAGCTGAAAAATGGACCTAATGAATATACTGTACTAGGGGAAAGGCTAAAAGTGCACACCACCACCAAGCACATAGTAAGCGGCTCTCATCAAACGGACAGGGAGGGGACAGGTGACAGGAGAACAAGCCAACAGGGCTGATGCTTGGAGTCGGGGCAGTGATGCTACAGACCTCAAGCCACGCCAGGCGGCGCCGTCTTTTCTGCTTACGTGGAGGTGATCAACTTAAACAGTACATGGGACGGGGAAACATGGGACGGGGAAACAGAGACCCACAGAGGCGGCAGGAAAGGGAGCAATCCAAGTGCAGTCACATAAAGAGAGACCGAATTTTCATCCCTGGTGGGAACAAACTTGCACCTAATGAGCTGCTCTCCATGTGCCGTGACTGTAATTGACTGCTACATCCTGCCATCTTACAAGGCTCTATTTCCTTGTCTCCATTTATTCAAAATAGGAGCTGTTCTCCCAGAGAATCTTCAGGGCTATAATCCAATCCTGCTAAAAGGTTTAAAAACAAACAAACAAAACCAAAAACTCCAGCGCTCATTCACATCTTATACTGGGGAGGGGCGGGGAGACAATGAGGAGAGAGTCCTAAAAATACTTACATTCAAAAAAAGAAAAGGAAAAAATTCAATCCTTAATCCCAAACTCCTCCTTAAAATAAATGACGTACTTTAAAAGTCTATAATATCATAAGGTACTGCTGAGAAGACACTGTCTTTGCACCTATCTTTAAAAATACAATTATCATTTGGACTTCCCTGGCAGTCCAATGGTTAAGACTTCTGACTCTCATTGCAGAGGTCACAGGTTGAGTCCCTGGTCAGGGAAGAACCCGCATGCCACCAAAAGAAAAATTATTATTTGGCCCATGGAATGGTCCTCTGCTCTATAACAATGAAGTTCTCACCTAGCAAACACTTAACGGAGCACCTACTCTGTGTCAGGCATAGCCCTGGGCATGGAGATTCAGAGATGAAAACAGGGCCCCCAGCCAGCACCCACCAACAAATGCCTTTACCAGTAGCATCTTGTGGAATCACCCAAGCCACCACCTGATAGAAAAGGAAAGCGGGGCTTCCAAATACAGCAGACCCCGCCCTGCCCTTGAGGCCCTTGAATACTTTGGTGTCTGGGAGGAAGTCTAATCTGAGGGCAGCAGACAGTGGCAATGAAGAGTGTGTGTGTGTTGGCGGGGTCCGTCAGGAGGGGCAGGGAGCATGCGAGAATGCTAAGTCACTTCAAGTGGTGTTCAGCTCTTTGCGACCTGATGGACCACAGCCTCAGTAGGCTCCTCTGTCCATGGGATTCTCCAGGCAAAAGTACTGGAGTGCGTTGCCATGCCCTCCTCCAGGGGATCTTCCCAACCCAGGGATCGAACTCGCGTCTCTTATATAAGTTTCCTGCATTGACAGGCAGGTTCTTTGCCACTAGCACCATCTGGGAAGGAAGAGTGGGCTCCAGAACCGAAGCTGAGCTTGCGGCCGCCTCCCTCCTTTGTCCAGGCTGCCTGGCTCTAGGCAGATGACCAGAGCGGGCCTGAGGCAAAAACAACAAGCTCAAGGGGCTCCCCTGGGGCTAGTGTCAAAATGGCCAGCTCTTCCCAACAGCCTGCAGGACCGCCTACTCCCTCCTGACTGCCGGCCATCACAGCCTGTCCGCCGGAAAGGCCCTGAAGACAGTTCACGCTGCCTCTGGGTAAAGGATGTCACTGCCTTCACAGGCATCCAGACTGGAGGCCAAAGGGAACGCAGCATGAGGAGAGAAGACGGGACACATGTCAGGGGTCCAGGAAAACCTGGACTCCACCACTTACTACTTGACATTCACTAACTCATTCTGTAAGTCAGTAAGTACCTACTGTATGAATCACTGGAATTTAAAGGGAGCAGAAAGAGACAGGGCACTTACCCTCAAAGAGGTGGTGGTACCTTACTGAGACACTGATTAGTGAGAGATAAACATAAAATTATAGCAAGAGAAGAAGAGAGAGATACCTACAAATATCACATTCGACAAGGAAAATCTGCCCTTGTCGGGTCTCCTGAGGAGGTGATGAGTGGATTCTGAGGGTGAGTGACCTGGGCCCAGAGCCTTATTCCAGGCAGAAGGGATGGGAGCAAAGGCCCCACAGAGGGAGAAAGCAAAGAACCTGGAGCTGAAGAAGCCCGATGGACTGGGGGTCCAGCACCGTGCTGGAGCTTAATCATAAGTCCAGTGGGGCCTGAACCTCTGCATCTCAGCTGCCATGCTTACTCAAGAGGAGGCTAATTTCATTCGACTCACAGGCTTGTCTTCAAATGAGAGGGGACTTCTCTGACAGTCCAGTGCTAGGACTTTGCCTTCCAATGCAGGGGGTTCACTGGTCTGGTCAGGGAGCTAAGACCTCACATGCCTCCCAGCCAAAAAACCAAAACAAAACAGAAGCGATACTGTAACAAATTCAATGAAGACTTAAAAAAAAAATCAAATGAGAGAAGGAAGGCAGAGACCCATGTGTGCCCAACACACGGTTGGAACTCCGACAACTGGGAGCGCCTGACGGACACTGGCGCTCAGAAAGAATTTCCCTGCAACAGGTGGAGGAGGACAGAAAAAGTCCTCCCTTCTGAAGGAGGACAAAAAGAAGATCCAGTGCCTCAGAATCTTGTAAGATGAGAACTCTGGATCTGCCTCCAGCCAAGCCAGCTCCATGAGCTGCCAGACAACCTTCTGGTCTAAGTGTGGGATTTCACAAGGATGTTATGTCAACTCTGTTGTAAAATAAAGGCAGAAAATAACCATATATCCATCAACAGGGCCTGGTGAGACAAACTATGGTATTGCCAGTTCAAAGGGGTACAGTGCAGCACTTTAAAAGAATGATGTAGATCTACACGCAAAGTATTGATAAAATAAAGTGACCTCTAAAGTGTAGAGTTAGGAGGAAGAAAAGTAATATACGTAACAGTGAATAAAGCAGGCGACTGGTGATTAAACATGTACATATATACATGCGGCTTACTCAAGCCATGCTCATCTCTGGAAAGACAAACCCAAGACTGATCACTGTTATTGCCTCTGGGATAGGAAACAGATTTCTTTTTCACTGAATATACCCTTTTATGCTACTTGGTTGTTTAGCATGTGAGTAACAATGTTTGTCAAGAGTCCAAATTTTGATAATTTTCAATTGTTTAAAAAAAAAATACAGTCTTTGACAGCAGACAAACCCAGATCTGTCACTTCTCAATACAATCCAAAAAACTAAGAAAATCCAAAAAACTAAGACAAGAAGAAATCTGAACACTGATATTTGTTGGTATAAACGAATTATCGACAATGGAGGGCTGACAATGATATTTGTTTCAATTATACTTGATTGCTCTATTTGTTTTCTTGATTTTTATAGCTATATTCTGAAATGTCTAGAGATGAAATAATGCCTTATATTTGATTTAAAACAATACAGAAGGGAAAAGCAGGTGTTGGTAACTTGAAATAAGATTGTGACTGACAATAGTTCAACCAAACGATGGTTACATGAAAGTGCATCACACACCCGCCGACCTTTGGGTATTATTAACATCTGACATCATAGGAAAGTTTCAAAGCAAAGAAGAAGCTGTTATAAACGTGCACAAAAAGGACAAGATGCTCTCAGCAACATGGTTTGCAATAGCAAAACACTGGAACAACCACAATGTTTATGAACACATAGCCAGATTTAAAATAGTGCAGTATTTCATTCAATGGAGAATTACAGAATTAACAAAGTGAACAAATTCGGTGGGGAGTTCTCAACCAGGGGTGATCCTGCCCCCGAGTGGATATCTGACAATGTCTGGGGACATATCTGGCTGCCAGGACTGAGGTGGCAGGGGCCGGGGATGCTACTGGACTCCAGTGAGTAGAAACTGGGGGTGTTGCTAAACATCTTACAATGCACAGGACGGCCCCCGACAAAGAAGGAAATGGCTCAAAGTATCAAGAGGGCCGCCGTTCAAAATCCCTCTATTACAGTGGCCCCCAACCTTAAGACACCAGGGACTGGTTTCATGGAAGATAATTTTCCCACAGGCCGAGTGGGGGAGGGTGGTTTGGGGATGATTCTCATAAGGAGCACACAACCCTTGTGTGTGCAGTTCACAGTAGGGTTCCTACTCCTATGAGAATCTAATTCCACCGCTGATCTGACAGGAGGCAGAGCTCAGCTGCTAAAGTGAGTGATGGGGAGCAGCTGTAAACACAGATGAAGCTTCACTCACTTGCCCACCAACCACCTCCTCCTGTGTCACCTGATTCCTAACAGGCCACAGATCAGCACCAGTCCGCACCCTGGGGCTTGGGGACCCTGCTCTGTTAGATCTACGTGGGATGGTCCTCAAACTGTAATACCAAATAAACACACACTCATGGAAGAAACAGATATGCAGAAGTAATACCAGGTAGGTAAAAGTTACCCAAAACTGAGACTATTCACTGCTATGGAAATTTATCCATGTAGTAACATATAAAAACAGGGAGGGGAAGGATATGTGCCAATTTCACAATATCAATTATGTGTGTGGGGGGGGGCATGAAATGTTGCCAAGGGGGTTTAGACAGATTCTTTAACATGTTATTTATTTTACCCCTTCCTGCCCAAAGGAAAGCCAGTGGTGAGGGTTAATGCATATAAAATCTGGGTGGGAGTGCCTAGATGCTCCCCCTTTTAGTCTCTGTACTTTTCCATGCCCTTGACATTGAACACATGTAACAGAAGGGTTGAGGGCAGCAGAGGTGGTGGGCAGGCAGACAGACAGCGTGGGCAGAAGGGCAAGGCTGGGGCACTCACCGGTCCCCGCAGGTCGATGAGCTCCTGCCGCATCTGGGAGACGAGGGCTTCCTTGGCCACCAGGGCCCGGTGCAGGCGCTCGTTGAACTCGATCAGCTCCCCGTGCATCTCCGCCACCTGCAACACACAAGCGCCAGACGGTGAGGCTCGGGGAAAGACCCTCCCCACGGCCCATCCCGCCTTCTCCGAGCCCACCACTGGTCAACCGGCATCGAAAGGTTGTTGAGCTGGAAACAATGAACGCTGCTTCCTTATGGATCAGTTTTGGTTTGTCTCAGGTCAGATTCAGCAAAGGAAATGGCAACCCACTCTGGTGTTCTTGCCTGGAAAATCCCACAGACAGAGAAGACTGGCAGGCCATGGTTCATGGGGTCACAGAGAGTTGGACACGACTGAAGTAAGTAAGCACGCACGCATGCAAATCCACCTGTTAAGCTGAATATGTTTTTGACTTGGTGGAATTGAACACTGCAGCATCAATGGCCCCAGTTTACAGTCTGGAATATGACTGTATCAGGTCATTTTTGGACCTGAGGCTTTTATTCTTAGGAAATGAATACTTTTCTAGCAAAGACTTTCTTTCTCATCTGTGGTGTGCCTGTCAAGAATCCCCAGCTAATGGCATAAGTAGAATGATTGACCACTTCTTTTTTTTTTTTTAATGTATTTGGCTGTAAAATTTATTTTTATTAAATTTGTTTGGCTGTAACATTTGTTCAGTTGTGGCATGTGGGGTCCTTGTTGAGGTGTGTGGGTTTTCTCTCTAGTCGTGGCACACAGGCTTAGATGCCCTGTACCAAGGGGGATCCCAGTTCCCTGACCAGGGATCGAACCCGCATCCCCTGTGTTGGAAGGTAGATTCTTAACCACTGGACCCCCGGGGAAGTCCCTGATGAATGATTTCTGTTCATCGAGGCTTTGGTTTTGAAAACTGAGACCACAGAACCAGAGCCTTGTTGAGGCTGGTGATGGTGAGTGAGGACACACCTGTGGTAGCACAGAGGCCCTGTGGCCCCTGCGTGTTCCCTGCCAGAAAGACGCCTGAGGTGGGTATTATTACTCCTGCCGCACAGACAGAGGAACAATGTCAGAGGAGTCTAAGGAGCAGGGTCAGGGCCACACAGCTAAGGCGGACTCCGGGGCCCTGGCTCCTGATCACTGGGCCACATGCCACAATCCTGCCACTCCACTGTGCAGCCACGCAGGCCTGCAGAGAGCCTGCAGATTTACCCACATTTCAATACTCTTGGCTGATCCCAAATAAAAAATGGAGGTTGGAATAAGATAACCTATGACTGGTGCACAGAACCAGTAACAGACCTTTCCGCGTGTAACATACAAAGGGAACAAGGATATCCCATATGGTCAAAGCACACAGTAATCCCTCTGATTCTAAGAGTGATCTTGGGACTTCCCCGGCAGTTCAGTGGTTAGAACACCACCCTTCCACCGCAGAGGGTACACGTTTGATCCCTGGCCAGAGAACTAAGATCCCACATTCCATGTGATGCAGTCAAAAAATAGAAAAAACTAAAAATAGGATTTTTTAAAAAGTGATCTTATTGGGGCTTAAAATCAAATTAAAATTTATTTAAAATTTTTTTTAGAGAAATGTGAGGTATAATCTTGCCATGCTCACCAGAAACCATGAAAGAAGACTCTGGCAAGTACCTTACAGAGAACATCTCTCCACCCTGAATGCAGAGGTGAAGCAGACCCCAGCCAGGCCCTGTCCTCCTGCCCCTCCCAAGAAATCACCCCTCCTATACCCAAGACTTTAGCCAGGTACTTACTATGTTCAGTATAATGCATAAACAGTATCAGAACATTTATATTTCTAGGTGAAATATAAAACATACTGTTAGAATACAGAAGGGATATAAGGAGAAGTTTTGTGGGCAAAAAAGAGATTAACCTAAATCTAGATGCTTCAGAAGGAATAAAGGTAAGCCATCATTTTATTTTTCTGAATATATATAAAAGGTAAAAGGCACAGGGAAGAAATACAGAAGGTACTAACATTAGTCAAGGGATATTTTTTGTTTCCATTCTTTCTACTTTTCCTTACTTATCAGTTTCTTAATAATGAGCACTCTTTCATTTATCAGAGAGAATAACCACTCAGGCGCTTTAAAAGAATTAAAATTCCTCATGTGTAACTCAAGGAAGGAGCCAGGAATTTCAGGAAGAATCTGAAATTTATCAGGTTCCCAACTGCAACGCTGATGCTTCTGTTAACTTGCTCAGTGGATATTCACTCAGATGGCAATCCCTCTGTCTGCAAGGTGCCACCTTATTCAAGCCAGTGAGAAATGCAAAGTAAAAATGGCACGACAGACACTGTAATGGCCACGCGATTAACTAATGGAGAATAAGCCACTGAGCCTTTGACAGCCTCTTGTGTCATACAGGCCTAAAATCAATATTCCCCAGTTGCCTTATTTTTGTATAAAAAAGCTTAAGATGACCTTCAGGCCTTTCACAAACAAATGCAACATCACTAATAATACCTACTTGATTCCTCCACACAGAAATCATACAAACCCTCCTCGAGCTTCCTTGGGGCTAAGAATCCATTTACCATACAGTAAGCAGGAAACACATACAACTGCCAGTTTCACTGCTAAATACCTGCTAATATGCTCCTACAACATACAAGCTTTAAATAAATGTCACCGTCATTTCCAAAGCAAAGTAGAGTTTTGCTTTGTGTTCGTGTTGTGTTTGGCAGGGGAAGCCAGGGTGTTAAAACAATTTCCCATAAATGCATAAAACATTGGAACATCCCAGCTGCAAGTGGTGTTTATCACCAACTGTCAAAACCCTGGTTCTGTTTTGCAGCCGGAGAGTAACTTGACCACATCAGACAAAGCTTTCATCTCACTAGAGAGTGGAGGGGAAAAAATCCTATGGAACCGAGGAGACAAAATTTGACAGTTTCCAGCAGTCATTAAAACAGCAATGCTCATGTTACTAAGCTAAGCTCTGAAACCCTGGATTTCTCCATTACATGTCCCCACAAACAGTTATTGATATAAACAGCTTTCATTTTACATAAACCACACTGAGCTTCCTATTCCTCAAATAACTCTTTCCAAACTACAGCATAACTAGAAATGAAATCGAGATTCAGAGCCAGCCTCAGAAGAGAAATGTGAAATCACAAATGGTTCCCATTATCATCAAAATAAAAGGCACAACCACTGCTTGCTGGAATTTCTATGAGGCTCTGAGGGCACTTACAGGTTGCATATGACCTTCCTTCCCTATTTCCAACAGCCACAGGGAATGAGAGAGAGAAATGTCCCCTAATCCTTCTCCACCAAGGAGCAAGAGTGATCTCCCCAAAGCAACAGCTGATGTTGTCACCTGCTGTTTAAAATTGTCAATGCTTCCCACTGCCCTAAAGATAAAAATCCATCTCCTTGCAGATCTGGCTTCAGCCTCTCTCCCTAACACCATCTTCTGCCCCCTCCTCTTGCATTTTCTCCCCAAAGTCACTCAACCCAGCAGGTCTTCTACGTTCCAGAAACATGCTGAGCTCTGGGAGCTCACCTTGTGAACAGAGGAGAAAGACACAACCAACAGAGGAAATGACTGGTGCAAAGGCCCAGAGGTTGGCAGGAAAGCAGCCCAGGGAGGTGCTTTGAAAAGGCTCAGACTCTGATGCAAGACAAGCCTTGGTTGGCTCTCTTAATCCGTGCTCTTGCGTGAATCACTTAACCTCTATGACCCTGAGGCCCATCACCTACAAAACGGGGATTAAAAACCACACTCATGGACTTCCCTGATGGTCCACTGGTTACAAATCTGCCTGCCGATGCAGGGGAGACAGGGGTTCAATCTCTGGTCTGGAAAGAGTCCACATGCCGTGGGACAACTAAGACAGTGCGCCACAACTACTGAGCCCACACATACTCTAGAGCTTTGAGCCGCAACTAGCAACCCCACGCACTGCGACTGCCGGAGCCCGCACGGTATCTAGAGCCCGTGATCCACAGGAGAAGCCAGCACAATGAGAAGTCTGAGCGCCACGATGAAGAGTAGCCCCAGCTCGCCAAACCTAGAGAAAGCCAGTGTGGAGCAATGAAGACCCGGGGCAGCGAAACAGTCAGTTCAGTCCAGTCGCTCAGTCGTGTCCAACTCTGAGACCCCATGGACTGCAGCCAAAAATAAATTAATTTAAAAAAAATAAACAACACTCATCTCACAGGGCCGCTTTGTGGATGGAATGAGCTGCGGCCCTTAGCAGGCTCAGTACTGTGTCCAGGCGTGGCAAAGCCTCAGTGAATGAGAAGTGGTTGTACATGGAGGGTGATCACATTAAAGGGACATGAGAAAGGAAGAAAAGGACAGGCAGATCTCTGGAAGCAAGATGGAAAAGTGCCTCATGGACCGTAATAAGCAGCTCAGAGGGCTGTGGAGAGAGACTCGCTGTCCCCCAAAGCGGGAGCATCACCCAGAGAACTGCTAACCACCCACCAGGCACTGTTCTCGGTACTGGGGCCCAGGGAAGTCACGGGGTTCACATCCTAGAAGTCAGACAAACTGGACTAGCACTCAGGGAGAGAGGAGGACTCGGAAAGAAGACAGGATATCAGAAAAGACCTCGTCCAGAGAACACACTGAGGAATCACTTCTCTGATTGGCCTTGACACATGCCAGGCAGCCTCCCACGGCTGATCCACGCCCCAAATCACAGTCAGGCACTCGCAGTGTTTTGGGACCGTCAGTGCTCAGGGCCGCCTTAAAAGTCAGCCATGGGACTTCCCTGGTGGTCCAGTGATTAAGAATCCGCCTGCCAAGGCAAGGGGCATAGATTTGATTCCTGATCCAGAGAGATTCCACATGACAAGGAACCACTAAGCCCGCGAGATGCAACTCCTGAAGCCTGCAGGCCCTAGAGTCCCTGCTCCACAACAAGGGAAGCCCCTGCAGTGAGAAGCCACCATGACTTAAGGGTACTCCCCCACGTGGTGCAACTAGAGAGAAGACCCTCTGCTTGGTGCAACTAGAGGAAAGCCTGTGCAGCAACGAAGACCCAGCACAGCCAAAAATAAATGAATAAATAACACCTAGATGGTAGCATGCATGGCTCCCAAGCTGTG